CTGCAGAATGAGATCGAAGATCTCATGGTGGATGTGGAGAGGTCTAATGCTGCTGCTGCTGCTCTGGACAAGAAGCAAAGGAACTTTGACAAGGTGAAGTGCTGTTAGTTTACATACCATGAAGTAGAGTCATCATATCTGGGGTAGACTAGCTAATGTTGAAAGGTGAATATGACTATGCTTCAAGTTCTCTTCCATTAAAGAGAATGATGATTATTGTTCACCTGTCTTTCCTCTGCAGGTTTTGTCCGAGTGGAAGCAGAAATATGAAGAGTCTCAGTGTGAGCTGGAAAACTCCCAGAAGGACGCAAGAGCATTGAGCACTGAGCTTTTCAAACTTAAAAACTCCTATGAAGAGTCTCTGGACCATCTGGAGACCATGAAGAGGGAGAACAAGAATCTGCAGGGTAAGATCTACAGCAAAGGTTTGAAAAAAATGTTCTGTGTGAAATTGTACCACCCAATTATTTTACTCTGCTTGGTGTCACACAGAGGAAATTTCTGACCTCACTGAGCAACTTGGTGAGAGTGGAAAAAATATCCATGAACTGGAAAAGCTTCGAAAACAGCTGGAACAAGAAAAGAGTGAGATTCAGTCTGCACTTGAAGAAGCGGAGGTACATACCCTTGTTAAATGATAAAAGGCATTTGAAAAGAACATCATTATGTGCTGTAAACCTCTGTATGTTTCTTTCCACTAGGCTTCCCTGGAACATGAAGAGGGCAAGATTTTAAGGGCCCAGTTGGAATTCAATCAAATCAAAGCTGATATTGAACGTAAACTGGCTGAGAAAGATGAGGAGATGGAGCAGTGCAAGAGGAACCTACAGAGGACAATCGACACCCTGCAGAGTTCTCTTGAGGCCGAATGCCGCAGCAGGAATGAAGCCCTTCGTCTGAAAAAGAAGATGGAGGGAGACCTCAACGAGATGGAGATCCAGCTTAGCCAAGCCAACAGGCAGGCGGCTGAGTCCCAGAAACAACTCAAGTCTGTTCATGCACATCTGAAGGTAAACTCAAACAGAAGAAACTAATTTTCAAGACATACTCTAAAAATACATGTATGCGCTCACAGTTATTGCCATTCTGTAAAGGATTGCCAAATTCAGCTGGATGAGTCGGTTCGGGCCAACGATGATTTCAAAGAGAACATGGCCATCGTTGAAAGACGCAACAACCTGCTTCAGGCAGAACTGGAGGAACTGAGGGCCGCTTTGGAGCAAACCGAACGAAGCCGCAAGCTTGCTGAGCAAGAGCTGCTGGATGTTAGTGAGCGGGTGCAGCTACTGCACTCACAGGTGAGGCTACATCTCAAAGGTAACGATACTTTCTGTATGGAAAAATAACAGCTTCACAAACTCTCAAATATCTCATTTTAAAATCATGCAGAACACTAGCCTGATAAACCAGAAGAAGAAGCTGGAGGGTGATACAGTCCAGCTTCAATCTGAAGTGGAGGACTCGCTACAGGAATGCAGAAATGCTGAAGAGAAGGCCAAGAAGGCCATCACTGATGCTGCCATGATGGCTGAGGAGCTGAAGAAAGAGCAGGACACCAGCGCTCACCTGGAGCGCATGAAGAAGAACATGGAGCAGACCATCAAAGATCTGCAGCACCGTCTGGATGAAGCTGAACAGATCGCCATGAAGGGAGGCAAGAAGCAGGTCCAGAAGCTNAATAAAAAAAAAATTTTTAATTTTTTTTTTAATTTTTTTATAATTTTTTTTTTTTTTTTTTTTTTTTTTTTTTTTTTTTTTTAAACAGGGATGCCCTATTGGTAATCCAGTGGAACATCCGTGCCTTCATGGGGGTCAAGAATTGGCCCTGGATGAAGTTGTTCTTCAAGATCAAACCTCTCCTGAGATCTGCTGAAGCAGAAAAGGAGATGGCCAACATGAAGGAAGAATTCCTGAAACTGAAAGAGGCCTATGCAAAATCTGAAGCTCGCAGAAAAGAGCTGGAGGAGAAAACTGTCTCTCTTCTTCAGGAGAAAAATGACCTGCAGCTCCAGGTCCAAGCTGTAAGTCTCCCAGCATCACGTGTATTCACAATAAGACAAAACATATTTGTATTGACTATTGCTGCTCAAACAATTTTATAAATATAATGACCATTTAGGAGCAAGATAATCTTGCTGATGCAGAGGAGAGGTGTGAGGGGCTGATCAAACACAAAATTCAAATGGAAGCAAAAGCCAAAGAGCTTTCTGAGAGACTGGAGGACGAAGAGGAAATAAATGCTGAATTGACAGCTAAGAAGAGGAAGCTGGAGGATGAATGCTCTGAGTTAAAGAAGGATATTGATGACTTGGAGCTAACTCTAGCAAAAGTGGAGAAAGAGAAGCATGCTACTGAGAACAAGGTCCGGAATTGTGACTTTGTATTATAGTTAAAACAAACGGGAACTATTTAGTGAATAATCCAAGTTTTAATTTTCTTATTTGCTTAATTTACAGGTAAAAAATCTTGTTGAAGAGATGGCTGCTTTGGATGAAATCATTGCCAAACTCACAAAGGAGAAAAAAGCTTTACAGGAAGCTCATCAACAAACCCTGGATGACCTGCAGAGTGAGGAAGACAAAGTCAACACTCTGACCAAGGCCAAGGCAAAGCTGGAGCAGCAAGTGGATGATGTGAGACTTTAATGGTCAAATGTCAGAATTCCAACTAATGTACACATCTGTTAGGATAACAAAGATTACTGTCTAATTTTTAAATAATTGTCAGCTTGAGGGATCTCTTGAGCAAGAGAAGAAGATTAGACTGGACCTCGAGAGAGCAAAAAGAAAGCTGGAGGGAGACTTAAAGTTGACTCTGGAAAGTCTAATGGACGTTGAGAATGACAAGCAACAACTTGAAGAGCGTCTCAAAAAGTAAGAATATTTGAACAACTTATTTGATCTAAACAAATAATCTAAAAATATACCCAATATGCTGGATTTATAAATTTGCTTTTTCAAAACAGGAAAGACTTTGAACTAAGTCAACTGAATAACAAAATTGAGGATGAACAAGCTATTGCCATTCAGCTTCAGAAGAAACTGAAAGAACTTCAAGTAATCAATAGGCCATAACGCATTTGAAAAGTAGGCAAAACAATGAATAAAGTCTGTAAACATAAGAATTATCTTCCAACAGGCCCGCATTGAAGAGCTAGAGGAAGAGCTTGAAGCAGAACGAGCTGCTCGAGCCAAGGTGGAGAAGCAGAGAGCAGACTTGGCTAGAGAGTTAGAGGAGATCAGTGAGAGACTGGAGGAGGCTGGAGGAGCAACAGCCGCCCAGATTGAGATGAACAAGAAGAGGGAGGCCGAGTTCCAGAAACTCCGCAGAGACCTCGAAGAGGCCACCCTGCACCACGAAGCCACTACTGCCACACTCAGGAAGAAACAAGCAGACACTGTTGCTGACCTGGGAGAGCAGATTGACAACCTGCAGAGAGTCAAGCAGAAGCTGGAGAAAGAGAAGAGCGAGCTCAAACTGGAGCTGGATGATGTGGTCTCCAATATGGAGCAGATTGTCAAGGCCAAGGTCAGCTAACCCAATGTTTTCTTGTTGTTGGCTGAACAACAATGTTTTCTTGTTGTTGGCTGAAAATCTTGGTCTTGTCTTGTCCCACATGGTGACGATTATTCATACTTGTATTTACTTTCTTTCAGAACAATTTGGAGAAAATGTGTCGGTCTCTTGAGGATCAGCTGAATGAATATAAAACCAAATCAGAAGAGGGACAGCGTACCATCAATGACTTCACCATGCAGAAAGCTAAGCTTCAAACTGAAAATGGTATAAACAAGCACTTTAAACCTCTTGAAAAGTGTATATAAACTGTATCAATTTAAAACCTAATTTTTAAATTTATTCTCAGGTGAACTTATAAGGCAGCTTGAGGAAAAGGATTCCTTAGTGTCTCAACTCACCAGAGGAAAGCAGTCTTACACACAACAACTTGAAGACCTCAAAAGACAACTGGAAGAGGAAATCAAGGTAACTGGGAACCAAGAGACTCCATTAAATAGAGATGATTTATTGACAGCGACTATATCCTTTCATATACTTTCTTTTCAGGCCAAGAATGCATTAGCCCATGCGGTGCAGTCTGCTCGCCAT